GAGAGAGTGGGAGGCGGATAGAAGATGGACAGAGGAGAGGATAGGTGGAGAGGAAACAAACAGGACGAAGAGGCGGGGATGGAGCCAGTAAAGGTGAGTGTAGGTGAGGAGTTAGGGAGGGGATAGGTCAGTCCAGGGAGGACAGACAGGTCAAGGGGGCGGGATGACGTTAGTAGGTAGGAGACGGGGGTGCGGCTTGAGGTGGGAGGAAGAACAGGTTAGGGAGGCGGGGACGAGCTGGACTGGTTTTGGAATGTGGTGGGGGAGGGGAGATTTTGAAGCTTGTGAAATCCCACTGCGAAGCCTCTTCTAAGGATTCTCCAGCATCTGCAGTTCCTACTATCTCTGATTCAAGGGAAAGAATACTGCTGTCTTTACCCAGTCAGGCCTGCAGGTGACTCCAGACTCATAGTAATGTAGCCGACTCTTAACTGCCTTCTAAAGTGGCTGAGAAAGCCATTCATCTGTATTCAAGAAAGTGGTTCTGTACCACCTTCAAGGATAATTAGGGGTAGACAATAAATGCCAAATCCTGTAAACGAATGAGGGGAGAAAAAAAGCCACAATTGACCAGCTTTGATAATGCTTCAGTCTTTATACTCTAAGGTTTTAGCAAAGATCTGTAGCTCGGGTTGTGGATGAGTTTGTTGACTTGCTGTCTGAGCTGGCTTGTTTTCATTCAGACGTTTCGTCACCATGCTAGGTAACATCATCAGTGAGGCCTCTGACGAAGCGATGTTGTTCTACTCCACTTGGAATTCATACTGTCCGGTCCATTAAGGTGAGCAGTGTCATTTCTGGCTTTGTTCTGTATGGGTTTGTATATGGGGTCCATTTCTATATGTTTGTTGATTGCATTATGGGTTGAGAACCATGTCTCCAGGAATTCCCGTGTGTGTCTATATTTATTTGAGGCATGGTTCTCAACCCATAACGCAATCAACAAACGTATCGAATTGGACGTCATATTCAAATCCATGCAGAATAAAACCGGAAATGACACTACTCACCATAATAGACCGGACAGTATAAATTCCAAGTGGAGGAGAACAACATCGCTTCATCGGAGGCCTCACTGATGATGTTACCTAGCATGGTGGTGAAATGCCTGAACGAAAACAAGCCAGCTTGGCAAGCATGTCAGCAACTTCAGTATAAAGAGAAATAAAATAGAAAATACTAGAGAAACTCAGCAGGGCTGGCGACATCTGGGGAGAAAGAAACAAAGTTAATGTTTTGAGTCTAGAATGAGTTGCTTTCAGAAGAGGGTTTAGAAGAGTTCTGAAGAAAAGTCGTATCGAATTTGAAATATGAAATCTGCTTCTCTCTTCTACCGGTGCTGCTGTTTTCTTTCTCTTCCCCTGAAGGTGCTAATTCAACTTAAGATTTAATGCATAGACTTATAGTGTCATAGAATTCAAGCCATCGAGTCAATGCAACTCTTTGCAAGAACAGAGACAACAAGGTGTAAAGCTGGACGAACACAGCAGGCCAAGCGTAGATAGAAAGACATTGTTTCTATTAGTCAAACGGTTAAGAACTAGAAGACATAGCATCATAGGAGCAGGAAGGCTGACGTTTCGGGCCTAGACTCTTTGCAGGAACAATTTACCAACCCCAATAGCCTTTCAATCAGTTTCTCATCGGGTGCTTGTCCAATTCACTTTAAAGGTCACACTCAAGCAGTGCTTCCAAACTGTATGATATTCACTCTGCTAAAAGATTTTCTTCATGTCACCTTTAGACCTTCTGTCAATTAAGGCTGTGTCTTCTAGTTCTTAACCGTTTGACTAATGGAAACAATGTCTTTCTATCTACTCTATCCAGACCTTTTCAACATTTGAAAAACCTGTGTCAAGTCTCTGCTCATCCTTCTCCGAAGAAAATATATAAACGTAACTTTTATTTTCATGTGCAGGTTATGATGACAGGGCAAGTTGCAAATGTGTTTAATAAGGTCTGCAGGATCCTAGGCTTTATGGACAGGGCTGAGGGTACAAATGCCAGCAAAGTTCTGATGAGCATTGGTCATTAAAACTTGGCCCAGTTCTTTTTGCTGAATTTGTTGGAAATAGTCAGGGCTCTAGTTGTCAGGCACTATGTCCAATTAGCAATTTTCATCTGTAGGCGAGCTGTAAAAGCTAAATTATAAAGCAGAATCTCTAAAGTAATAATCTCTGGATTACTACCTGAACCAAAGTCAAACTGGCATGGGGTAAATAAAGGCAATGAGTTAAATGCATGGCTGACAGAGTGGTAGGTGGAATGGATTTCAGTTCATGGACACTGACACTAGTACTGGGGTAGAAAGGAGCTGTTCTGGTGGGACGGTGTTCACTTGAACTGGCTGGAACCAGTGTTCGGGTCCTATCAAATAACTAGGGCTGTAGAGATGGCTTTAAAGTAATTGGGGTGGGTGGAGTTGGGAAAGGGAAATGTAAACTTACAAAGCAAAAGGATATGGCAGCATTACAGGTACATATTTGGATAATGATTCCCAGAGTGGACAGAGTGCTGGGTCTCCATATTTAGCTCTGAGGGTGTATCTACAACATGAGGACTGCAGCGGTTCAAGAAGGCAGCTCATCACCACCTTCTCAATGGCAGTTAGGTATAGACAATGAATTCTGGTGGAATCAGAGAAGCCCACATCCCTTGAATGAATTAAACTAATTAGTCTTTCTGTTTCTATGAAGGAGAAATTACTTCGCACAAAGGGTCATGAATCTGTGGAATTCATGACCAGTATACAGTGGATGCTGGGACATTGAGCAAATTTAAGGAGGAGTTAGACAGATTTTTAATTAGTGGTGGGTTGAAGGGTTATGGGGAGCAGGCAGAAAAGTGGAGTTAAGGCTGATCGTATGTGTAGAACAGCGGAGAGAGCATTGATCAGAATAACAAGGAGAAAAAGATGCCGCTGAAGTGGGCTTTCAGCTGCTTAACAGTAGATATATGGTAAGACAGTGAAAACATCAGGAGATAATGAAGGCGTGTTAAAAAAAGGTAGTGCATTAATCATGGGATACCTTAATCTTCATGTAGATTGGGAAAGCAAGCTTGGCACAGGCGATTGGCCCCAGCAAAATTCTGCCAGTAGTATTAAAGACTTCTGCTCCAGAGTTTGTTTCTGTTCTAGTACAGGTATAACACTGGCACGAATCAACAATGTGGAAAAGTGCTCAAGTGTGTCCTGTATAAAAAAGTGGACAAGTTCAACCCAACCAATCACTGATCACATCAATCTACTCTCGATCTCAGTAAAATAATAGAAGTTGTCATTGACAGTGCTATCAAGGAGCAACCGCTCAGCAATAACCTGCTCAGTGATGCCCAGTTTGAGTTGCACCAGAACCACTCATCGTCTCATTACAGCCTTGTTTAAATATATACTAAAGAGCTGAATTCCAGAGATGAAGTAAGAGTACAGCACTTGACATCAAAGCCACGTTTGGCTCAGTGTGCCATCAAGGAGCCCTAGCAAAACTGGAGTCAATGGGAATCAGGGAGAAAACACTTTGCTGATTGGAGTCATATCTGGCGCAAAAGCAGATGGTTGTGGTTAATGCAGGTTAGTCATCTCAGCTCCAGGATGATCTTTAGCAATTTCATCAATGACCTCCCCTCTATTATAAGGTCAGAGGTAGAGATGTTCACTGATGATTGCACAATGTTCAGCACCATTCAGGACTCCTCAGATACTGAAGCAGTTCTATGCCCAAATGCAGCAAGCCCTGGACAATATCCAGGTTGATGCTGAAAAGTGTTAAGTAACATTCGTGCCACACAGACGTCAGGCAATGACCACCTCCAATAAGAGACAATCAAACTAGTGTCTCTTGGTTTTCAGTGGTGTTACAACCATTGAATCCCCCATTATCAATATCCTGGAGGTTACCATTGTTGAGAAACTCAACTGGACTTGCAATATAAATACAGTGTCTACAAAAGCAAGTCAAATGCTAGGAATACTGTGGTGAGTAGCTCACTTCCAGATTCCCCAAAGCTAGTCACCATCCACAAAGCTTAAGTCAGGAGTGTGATGGAATATTCCCCACTTGCCTAGATGAGTGCAGCTTCAAGAACACTCAAGAATGCAGGAGAAAGCAGCCTGTTTGATTGGCATTATATCCATAATTGTCCATTCCCTCCACCACTGACACTCAGTAGCAGTGTGTGTACAATCCACAAGATGCACTGCAGAAATTTATGGGAACACCATCACCTTCAAGCTCCCCTGATGCCACTCACCATTCTGACTTGGAAATGTATAACTACTGGGTCAAAATCCTGGAATTCCCTCCCTAATGGCATTGTGGGTCTACCTACAGCATGTGGTCTGCAGCAGTTCAAGAAGGCAACTCACCACTACCTTCTCAAGGGCAATGTGGCTTAGCCAGCAATGCCCACGTCCCGCGAGAGAACTTAAAAAAAATCAGTAATTGCTGAAACACAGACACTGTTTATTACATCTCAGAACACAGGTATATAAGAACAGGAGGAAGCCATAGCCTCTTAAGACTGTTCTACATTTACTTAGCTTGGTTCCCTATTCCTTGATACTTTATCCAATAAAAATCTAACAATCTCAGAATTGAATCAATCAATTAATGCTAGCTTTAATACCTTTCTGATGGTGAGATTCCAGATTTCCACTCTCCTGTTTGTACTTGTTGGCATTATCTCTGAATGGCTAGATTTAGTTTAAAGCTTTTGTTTCCTTGCAATGGAATGCTACCAACAGAGGTAAGATCTTACCTCCAAATTCTGTGTCAACTCTTTTAATTATCTTAAAAGCTTCAATTAGATCACCTCTTAATCGCGTGAGTTCAAGATAACAAAAACCTACTCTTTGCAACCACTTCTCATAATCTAACACTTTCAGTTCTGGGTTTATTCTGGTGAATTTTGATTGCAATCATTTCAAAAATCTTCTCCTTTCTGAGGTATGGTGCCCAGAACTGAAAACTATACCTTTCATGACATCAGATAATTCTTACCTTAGTGGGTAAAGGTGGTTGTTGCTGCATATAACCTGGTATAGGAGAACGACAAGGGGGTTGAACTGGAGTGGAATCTGACATGACGGTCTTTTTGCTTGGTTTTTTGGGTGGTCGAGGTGGTGGACACAGATTTGGAGAAGAACATTTCCGCAGATTATAGTACATGAAATCAGTCAACTCTTCCACTGAGGTTGCATTTTTAAGGTTACAATCCTCCTCAGGAAAGTCTTGTAGATGACAGACAGTCATGGTTATCCATTCAACTGGAATTGAGAAGCACTCAGAAGGCTGTTCATTAAAACTGACAACCAGATTAGGTACCATAATTATTTCCTCCAGCTTGATTGCTGGGAAGGCTGTTAAGGTATCATTTGGTAAAGTAGGATCTTTTGATGTGACTTTTACTTGAAAAGGTAGCTTGAATTTATCACATATTTCTGAGATTTTGTATCTCTTGGTGTCATGGACTTCTTCCACAAAATGACCCTCCAGGTATAAAGGAAGCATCAGAGTCTCATCCTCATCTTCATCTTCTGTGATCTTGTTGCACATGAGCATGTCAACATTTTGAATTACGCCATGAAAGTTCAGTTGTGTAGTAGTCCTAAACATAGTGACCAAGCGGTCACCCACGCATAAAGAAGATAATCCATCTTCATTCCACATGCAGTCTCTTGTAACCACAACATTCAAAGGGGTCTCTTGGCTGATGGCATTGCAAAGATCAAACACAGTCACAAACTCTCTAGGCCGCCTTCTGAAGGATCCCTTGTAGTTTATGGAGATTAAGAAATGCCGGTTCACCTTGTTGAGCATGGATGTTGCCAGGACATGCTTCAGCAACTGCTTCTTATAAATTTTCAAAATTCTACCCTTTCTCAGTGAGTGAAACCATTGACCCTTAAAGGCGGGCTGCTGTTCCGGGGCATCCAGAATTTTGACCAAGATTGGAAATTGATCATGTGACTGGTTTATAATATCAGACAATGACAGTGGTTTGATGAACGTGATATCTTTTTGCTCCTCTGTTACATCCCTCACATCAACTTCCAAAGTTGAAGGTATTTTCACAATCTCTTTTCTGTCTGCAGGAAGAGTTGATAGCTATTTTAATAAGCATGCTTTCAGACATTATATAGACAAACCTCTTTGGCATTATTCACAACATGAAATATTTTTTATCAAATAACCTGTAATAAAAATCCCATTATTATCTTATTTTGCCTGCACCCCTATTCCTTTTGTCACTTAATCCATCTTGCCTTCTGTCAAAACTTAGATTTTACCTTTGTCCTCTCCTCTTCACCCCACCTCTTTTCCCTACCTCTATTACTTCCTTAAAGCTGGTAACATATCCATGTTTTTTTCAGCTCTGATGGCAGTTGTCTATCTGAAACATAACCTCTATTTCTGTCTCCATAGAAACAGCTTGAACAGTTAACTATACAGTTGATAATACTGACTCAGCCGTGTCAGTTTTATTTCAGATTTCAGGTGGAAGAGGTTATGGGTTTTGAAGGCACTATTGAAGGAATTAGTGTTGATGAATTACTGCAGTACATTTTTTAAGTGATATGTGCCTCTTCCACTGTGCACTGATGTGGAGAGCGAGTGTTTAAAGGGGACGGGATGCGATCAAGCAGGCTGCTTTGTCTTGGATGGTGTTGATCTCCTTGAATGTTGTTGGAGCTGTACTCATTGAAGCAAATGGGGAGTATTCCATTGCAGTTGTAAATAGTGGATAGTCTTTGGTGACCCAAGAAGTGGGTTACTTAGCACAGAATTTCCAGCCTTTGAACTGCTCTTGTAGTATTTATTTGGCTGGACTAGTTAAAATGCTGAGCATTGGTAAACCCAAAGATGCTGATAGTGGAGGATTCAGCAATGACAATGTCATAGTATATCTTCTATGGAAAAATATGTATTCACTGTTGTAACATAAAATAACACCGCAGTCATTTGTGCACATCAATACTTGAGAAACATTAATGAGATGTGTGACCAATTCATCTGATTTTTAGTGACATCAGTTGAAGGTTATATTTTGGCCATTGGTACATTAGGACAACATCCCTGCTTTTCAAATAGTTTTAGGGTTTGATTGCATCTCCAGCAATTCAGCAATCTATGAATGCACACAGAAGTGTGAATAAAGATTACCATCTGGGGCCTCTGTTTCAGGACCCCAAAACATCAACTTTCCTGATCCTCGGAAGCTGCCTGGCCAGCTGTGTTCCTCCATCTCCACGCTGTGTTATCTCTGAATACTGTTCAAGATCATTTCAGTGGGTCGTTAAAAATCAGCTACATATGGATCTGGAAGTATCTGTAAACCATTTCTATAAGACAGCAGACTGGTTTTGGTGGGGTTTGAGTGCAATCTGGCAATGTCATGGTCACTGCTACTGATTCCATGTTTTTGTTTCATAGTTTATTTAATTAAATTGTAATCCCTCATTTGCCATCATGGGATTTGAATTTATAAATCCAGACTGTCAGTCTCAGTTTATGAATGATAAATTCATTGTTAGCGTTAATGTTTAAAGGGATTTGGGTATGCTCATACAATGAATGCAGAAAATCAACTGATAGGTGCAGCAAGCAAATAGGATGGCAAATGGCTTTTTGCCTTTATTGTAAAGGGGCTAGAGTGCAGGAATAAAGATGTCTTGGTAAAATGTCCAGCATTATGGTGAACAGCTTTGGTCTTGACATTTAGGAAAGCATGTATCTATAATGGATGTCAGTTCCCTGCATGACAAATTTGTTTGATCATAATTGAGGCTATATTGTATGGCTTTAGAAGAATGAGAGGCAATATCGTTGAGAAATACAAGGGGCTTAAAAGGGTAGACATTAAAGATTGTTTCTGTACAATCATGACGAGGTAAGCCAGGTGGTCCTCATAGAATATTATTCCTTGACTGGGGCTGCTACCTGGTCCAATCAGGGAGCCCTGGCTGACAGATATAAACGGGAGCATCAGCGGTTCTGCTCACTCTGAAAGCTGGCTCTGAGGAAGCTGGACCAACATCAAATACTATGTATGGGTAAATAAAGGATGACATGGTGATGGGATGCCAGTCTCTGTGGAGTTTTTTCAGTAGCGACAAGGGAAAAAAATGCTCCTGAAGAAATTTATTTGCAACAGTAATCTTTGAGTTGGGGTAAGCATTCCTGGAATCATACCATTATTTGGGAAGCTTGACTCATTTGATCCTGCCTTAGAAGACTGCGCCCAGTATGTGGAAAGAATGCATTACTTTTTCCTGGCAAATTACATTGGGGCAGATGAAAAGCAATAAGTAATTCTCCTGTCAGCTTGTGGACCCGCAGCTTTTTCAATTATTAGGAGCCTAATGTTTCCTGAGGTACCAAATACAAAAATCTTTCAAGAGCCAACAAATTTACTGAAGGAATATTTCAATACCCAAAATTCCTAAAATCCTGAGATGCTATCAGTTTTACTCAGCAAGTTGAGAACTGGGGAATCGGTGTCAGGATCTTTGATGTAGTTAAGACAGCTGGCAGAGGCATGTGACTTTGGTTTAACCCTTAATGAGATGCTGAGAGACTGTTTGGTATGTGGGATTAATAACGTAATCATGCAAAAACACCTGTTAGCTGAAGCCCAATTGGACTTCAAACAGACACTACAATTGGCTTTGATATTAGAAAATACACAAGTAGAGCATATTTGTTACATGGTATGCTGTTGGAAGTGGACACCCTCACCTGGCCGACTGAGCTGGGGTACACCACTTGAGTGAAGGCAATTGCGCAGCCTCACGCAAGACATATCCTGAACAGAAGGATTCTAGGTCAACCCACGGCAAAAGCCTAACAAAAGCCAAGCCTTGGTCAAACGGTTAACAATCCAAAGATGTGCAAGCTGGGTAAATTGGCCATGCTAAATTGCCCGTAGTGTTCAGGGATGTGTAGATGAGGTGTGTTAGCCATGGGAAATGCCGGGTTAAAGGGAAAGGATAGATGGATGGGTCTGGGTGGGATGCTCTTCTGATGGTTGGTGTGGACTTGTTGCACTGAATGGCTTGTTTCCACACTGTTGGGAACCTATGATTATATGGTTCTATGATTTTCTTTAGGATCTGGGCCAGCAAACCACTGTAGTTGCTGCTGGTATGCTGACTCCAGACAGCAAAACGGTCCTACCAGGCCTGAATTAAGTAAGAGAGCCCATATGCTGATATCCAGGAGAGTGCACATCCTATATCTGGTTTGGTTTAAATTGCTTAGCAACATCCAAATCAGAACCAATCAAAATAAATGTCTGGTTAAATGGTCACCCGGTTCTCATGGAGGTTGATACTAGCACAGCTAAATCAGTGATTGCAGAAACAGTCTTTATCAAAATTCACTCTGGACTCCAACCCTTAAGTTTGTGTAAGACCTCAGCTACACCGAGAACCTATATCAGGGAACTGGTACAGAGTAAGGATACAACTTTGGTTCCAGTCTCGTATTAGAAGCATACGAGTTCAGTTACCCACTGATTGTGGTAAAAGGCTCAGGACCAAACCTGATGGGGCGAAATTGGTTGAGAAAGATTTGCCTTGTTTGGTACAACATTTCTCGATTAGAGAATGGCTGCCTGAGTGAAGTCCTAATTAAATACGTGAAAGTTTTTCAGCAAGGACTAGGGACTATCAGAGGAACCAAGGTCACCTTGCATGTTGACCAGGAAGTAATTCCACGATTCTGCAAGGCCCGCCCAATGCCATTTGCCTTATCGGCAAAAGTAGGGGCATAAATCAGGAAGTTGGAAAATGAAGGGATCATCATACCGGTGCAGTTTGTGGAATGGGCAGCACCGGTCATACTGATTGTGAAGCCCGATGGGTTACTAAACAAATAGTAAACCATTACTCACAGCTGGATGAATACCCGATCCCTCACATAAAGGATTAATATGCAAAGCTGACAGGGTTCTCCTTCACAAAGCTATATAAGAGCCATGCGTATCTGCAATTGCAGTTAGATGAGGATTCCCAGAAGTATGGTATATCAATACCCATAAGGGCTTGTACCAACATATGAGACTGCCATTTAGGATATCATCAGCCTGGGTCATTTTTCAGTGGGCTGTGGAAAACATTTTACAAGGTCTACCCCAGGTTGCCATTTATCCAGATGACATTCTAATAACAGGAAAGACTAATAGAGCACTTAGAGAACTTGGATATAGACCTTATATGTTTCTCCAAGGCAGAGGTATGCCTAAGAAGGGAAACATACATGTTCCAGGTGACCTACTTGGGCTACAGAGCCAACAAAATGGGTTACACCCAATAGAAGATAAAGTGAGGGTGATCAAAGATGTCCAGGCTCCCATGTCTGTACTGGCACTTAGGTCTTTCCGTGGATTTGTGAGCTATTAAGAAAAGTTCATACTCCATCCTGATACCGTTACATCTGCTATTGAGAAAGGATCAGCCTTGGAAATGGTCTCTTAGCCAAGACATAAAGTTTAGGGAAGAGAAGATGCAGCTATCATTGTCTAAGGTGTTGGCACACTACGATTCCAAGTGAGATCTGGCGCTGACATGCAATGCCTTCCTGTATGGTATCAGGGTAGGGTTGGCTCACAGGTGGCCCACTGGAGAGGAATTCCCAATAGTACATGCTTCCTGGACTTTGGCAGATGCAGAGTACAAATTCTCCCAGATAGAGAAGGAAGGTTTGGCAGTCATTTTTTGTATGAGAAAGTTCAACTAATACTTTTATGGATATAAGTTTGTAAACATAACAGACCACAAACTCTTGCTAGGCCTACTTGAAGAGGGCAGGCCGTGCTGCCCATAGCGTCAGTGGTGGGTTCTCCTTCTAAGTGCATACAAGTACAAGTTGGAACAGTGTCTGAGAGACCGAGTAGCAAATGTGGTTGCCTCAAGCCACCTCCCGCTGGAAGATATACTACCAGTGGTGCCCCCAAAGGAGGAGTCTATTCTGGGTTTAAACTTTCTGAATACCCTTCCATCATTGCTGAAATATCAGTTTGTGGATGTAAAAAGATATGGTCCTGACAAAACTAAAACAGCTAGTCGTGATGGGAAAACAAAAAGAC